AGAATTGACCTGTATCGGGACGTCCTTACAAATCCCTGGACTGTGAACTTTCTCACCATTTGCGACGGCTACCTGTAGCCGTGGCCGGAGTTCCATTGGTAGTTTTAACTGCAGGGCGGCATGTTCACTTATGAAGTTGTGTGTGCTCCCTGAATCGACGAGAATGCGCACCGGCGGACCTGCGATCTGTGCCTGTAACTGCATGGTCTGAGAGGTTTTAATACCAGTGATCGCATGGAGAGAGATCTCTGGCTCGAATGTGGCGGGATCCCCTTCCTCCTCTTGCTCATCGATGAGAAGGCAAAAAAGCCCCTTGCATCTATGTCCTGCCGAGTAGAGGTCTCCCCCTTTTATAAAGAGAAACATAAGGCTATAAGGAGAAGGATCTAAAAGGAGACCTTTCCTATTAGGAAAAGGGGTCTTTATCTTCACGTCAATTATTAACGGAGCACCAATGGGGTTTCGCCACATGTCTAGCGAGATCCTTCAAGGACACGGTTTTCTTTCTCCTAAGGATTCTCATGTGGTACATGTAGGCTTCATCCCCTTACAGGTTCCTCTGTGGACACATGTCGAGGATAAGATCTTGATTTGGCTAACGTGTTCGAGTATTTCATTAGTTATCCTCGAAACGCCTTGTCATAGCTCACTGTGACTTGAAGGAATGCTGATCTCTCGTAGGCGGGTGTTGCTGGCCTCAGGATCTGTCCACCATTCATTAAAGTCATGGACTATCGTTTTGTGTCCATTGCAAGGTGTTAGTTGTGTATCGGGTTTGTCTTAGACTGACAATGTTATTTTATGTCCATCGCAAGCCTTGGGTGATGCTCATTGTTCATCGCAGGTCCCAAGAGGTGTTTTATGGTCATCGTGGGTCTTGGATGGCCCTTTGTGCTTATCGCAGATCCCGGAAGGCGTTTCATGCCCATTAGAGGTGTCAATTGGATTGGATTTGGTCCAACCCGATCCAGTCCAATGTGAGTCCACTTACAAATGGATTGGACCCAATCCAGTCCAAATCCAATACAAACCAAATCCAATCCAATCCATTAGGCTCCGTTTGGTTCGTGTGAAGATTTGGGTGGGATGGGAAAGTGTAAAAATTTAAGTTTCCATTGTTTAGTTATTGGGATGGGATGGGATGGGAAAATGTAAAAAGGGGGAGAAGTTTACGAAGGAATCCACTATTCACCCTCGTCCTCCTCTTGACCGAACAGAGTGGCAACTAGGAAGAGAAGCGGCGGATCTGAACCCATCTCCGGCCTCCCTCCCCCGCTCTCTCTCCTTGATCTTCTCCTTCTTCTTCCCCTCTTCCCCCATTTTCTCTCTCGCTCTGTTTCGTCACCGCTATTGCAAGTTGCAGCGGCGGTAGATCTGCGCGTCCCCTCTTTAATCTCTCTCTCTCTCTCTCTCCCCTTCTTCTTCTTCTTCTTTTGCTTCTTTTTCTTCTTCGTTTTTCATCTCCACTACTCTGTCACCACAGAACCAGAAATGATGAGAGTGGCGGTGGCGTACCAGTGGATTCCTTCGTAAGTTTTCATTCAGTGTTGACTTCTTCTATCCGAATAGGGAAGCTGCTTTGGATTTTGGCTATTGCGAGGGATTTTTGCCATTGTGTTGATTCCCCTACGTTGGCGGTGGCATTGGTGCCGGACACCTGTGCTGGTGCCGCTGAATAGGATTGTGTTGCCGGATTTCTCTGTTAATGTGTGTGGGACCTTCGGCATGGTCTACGAGAGGGAGGGAGGAGGGAGATGGAAACTCGAGTTTTCTCACCGAGGTCGCACTTTTTTGGTGCGACCCCGAATCCGTGATTTTGGGATCTCGCATCCCACTTTTTTCTCATCCCATCCCCCTCTTTCCCTCAAAGCAAATATGAGAAAAGGGAATATTTTTGGAGCATTCCCTTTTTCTCATTCCCATCCCACAAACCAAATGGAGCCTTAAAATGTAAATGGACTGGATTGGATCCAATCCAAACCGATTGAAATATCAAAAATTATATAAAAAATAGAACCTATAAAAAATTACAAAAGTATATTAAAATGAAGAAAATCTGAAAGTTACAAAAATATACCCTTTTGGCATTGAAAAAGCACTTTTGTAAAGGTGCTTTCATAAAAGTATTTTGATAAAAGTACTTTCATAAAAGTGCTTTTGTATAAGTACTTTTATAAAAGTACTTGTTTTTATTAAAATTCTTTCGTAAAAATGCTTTTATAAAACTGTTTCTGTAAAAGTGCTTTCATAAAAGGACTTTTGTAAAAGTGCTTTCATAAAAGGACTTTTGTAAAAGTGCTTTAGTAAAAGTATTTTGTAAGTGTTTACGTAAAAGTACTTTTCATAAAATTACTTTTATAAAAGTGCTTTTATAAAAATGTTTTCGTAAAAGTGCTTTCATAAAAGTACTTTCATAAAAGTGATTTTATGCTGGCTTCAGTTTTGATCGGTTTCAAATTGGACAAGGATTTGGCCTCGTGATCGGATTATTGGAAATTTGGTTTAGGTCCAATTCAGACCAATAAGAATATGGACCAATTTATTTTGGATTGGCCCAATCCAATAATTATAGTGGACCGTCCAAATCTGATTTGATAAGGTTTGGATCGGATTGGATCCAATCCAAAATTGGTTGATTGACACCCCTAATGCCCATCGCACATCCTTGGTGGCTGTGTACTCATCGCAAGTGTACGAGCTTTTCATCATTTCGATAGTGTTTTTGTACTGTTGTGGGGGTATCCCGATCGAGATTTCTCCATATGGTCTTCCTTCGACATCTTTGTCATAATCCTGGTGATGGTAAACTACATGTACTTACACAACCAAAGGATGCCTAATTAGGATGAAGACTACTACAATAGCAGAAGCTGACCACATAAGTTACAATTCAAATTGAAAGAGCAGATTTTATATTTGTCATCTCCTTATTAGGATCTGGCATTATCCAAACTAATTCACCTCTGAGCACTCCTTCCCTAGCAAGAGAATTCGCAGTGACGTTGACAGATCTAGGAACCCAAGTCAATGAGCTATTGGTTCGAATTGGAAGCACTTTATATCCTCTTATTATGTGTTTAGTAGTCCATGGCCTGTCTTCTCTTTCTGATAGCCTGCTAACTACCCCCTGTCATCTGTTCCCTGTTAGTCCCCTGTTTAGTAATTGTATCAGCAAGTTCCTGCTTTCTGTTTTCCTAAATAATGTATAATGTTTCCGTGTGGTATTTTTGTCTTCATGATTTTCTTTCATTGGTGTCTGCTTTGTTTATAAAACATGTCTTTTTTTCTCTCTTCTGATAATAGTTAATGCTAAACTCTTCTTTGGAATGTAGCTTAAGGAGATGGGTGGACAAAGCAAACCCTCTGAACCTGTGAAGTTTGCTGAACAGTCTACTGAGAAAAAGAAAGGTTTTTCTGATTGGATGAACTTGATAAAGCCTGGCAATGAGGAAAAAGATCATTGGGTAAGATTGCAAAGTTATTATGCCTAAAACATTCTCTTGGTTATTAGATTCTCTTGTTTAAAAATCTAATCTTCTTGCATTGAATTTTATTCACAATTTCACAGAAGTTGTTGGTTGTGTATAGCTTTCTTTATCAACTAAGAATGTTTATCTGTCTTTTCTTTCATAATGTCTTGTTGTATACATTTGGAAGTACTACAATGTTGTATATGTATTATGCACAAATAAGGTGGTTTGTGAGAGAAACCATGCTTCCCACGTCATCCAACATTATACAATATACATACATGAAGAACACATTTTTTTTTTAAACAATGGATATGGCATTGGCCAGAGTGGAATGGCAAAACAGGATATAGTGGGGATAAGGCTTAGATTATAATGATAATTATTATACATAAAGAACACATTTTTCATGTTTGTATACCTGCCATCTTTTTTAATTTCTTTGAAGTTGGCTTTCCAATTAATTTCTTTTCATAGTTTCAAAAGCTTTAGAGTCGGGATTTCCTATGATGCTGCCATCTGTGTTTTAAATGTAAGGTACATGCATGGGGAAAACCCTTGTATTCGATGAGCTTCTTTAATTGATCCTAGATTCTTGTCTGAATGTTTAAACTTGGGTAATCATGTATTTAGTTTTTGAGTCAGATCACAAATATTTGGAACATATCTTTCTTGAGTTGAGTTAATCATATTTCTATTTTGGTATGTTTAATTAGTTTGCTTTAAAGTAAACTTTATTGCAGTGTTTTAAAAGGCGTGGGAGGCATACGCCTGGAGGTGCGTCTCTAGGCGAGGTGCCCCCAAAATGCCCTGAGGCATAGGCCAGAGGTGCTGACACCTCTGAGGTGTACACCTCATACGCTTTTTTCATGAGATGTGCTAGAGGTGTATGCCTCATGCACACTTCATATAAAAAGTCAAAACGAAAAGAAAGAAAAAAGAAAAAAGAAAGGAAAGAAAAGGAAAGGAAAAGAAAAAGAAAGAAAGAGAAGAAAAAAAAAAAGAAAGAAAAGAAAAGGAAAGGGAAGGGAAGAAAAGATAAGGAAAAAGAAAGCAGGTGGGCCGGCTGGGGGGGCAAAGCTCCCTTTCAACTAGTGCTATGCATCTTCATTCTTCTTAATATAGAAGATTTTTATTACAAATAAAGGAAAAATGAGATCCTCCTTCCTCTTCATCCTCCTCATTCCACTCCTCTTAAGGAGGCTTATGCCTCTTACGTTGTGAAATACGCCTAACACCTCTAGGTAGTGGGCCTTGCATCACGCCTGTCTTTTAAAACATTGCTTTATTATATGGAGCCACTGGCATGCAACATGATGTTGTCTTACCATATAACATTTTATTGGAAGAGAACTGCAAGCCCATCGACGTGGATGGGGGAAGCTTCCTAAATGGCTGTCCAACTTCCCCATAATTTTTTTTGATCAGTAGAAAAGATTAATTTATTAGATTTCAAGAAAATTGTAACAGTACAAATGATGACAGGGATGTCATCCCTAGGAACTTATCAAATTACAGTTACAGAGAATTCTCAAGAATGTACATCAGATTACAATTAGCCAAAACAAGCCATCTCTATCAGCTCCTTGCTTTGCCAATACATCTTCCATCATTTGCAGACCTTCTTATCCACCCAAAAGTGGAATTGAATCTCTTTGCCAAGGTGTCGATCTCTCTAAAAGCATGTCTGTATTTCCATGGAGTGCTGATCTGATATTCTTGGACCAAGATATGACTAACTGAGAATCTCCTTCCACTTCTAATTTCCTTACTCCAACTTGTACAGCAAGTCTTAATCCATGAAAGAGAGCCATCACTTCAGGACCAACTTCCCGATATTCTTTTGCAGAGAGCTATAGGGCCCACATAGAATGCATTTTCCCTTGGGTAAATTTTTGGGCCAATTCCCCAGGTAAGTGTTTCCCTTCTCCCAGGTGGGTAAACCATTTTCCCATGGGCTGGGGGTGGGGGGGAGCTACCTAAATGGTTGTGGGACTAAATCAATACAGCTGTTCTCTCTCAACCCCTCTCTCACCCGTGGCTGACTGAGACCTCTCCGGCGAATTTCATGGTGCAGGTGACATTTCTGGTGAGTTCTTCACCGAAAAAACTACAAGCCGGCTTAAAAAACATTACAAACCCACAAGAAATTTTGGGCCTAATCATGGACTGGATGAGTGGAGCCCATTTTACCCATTAAACTGGTTTAAAAAAGTCCAAAATTATTAATTTTGGCCCAAGGGTAAAAGTGGTAACAGGGGAAAAATAACCAACTTACCTGGGAAAGTGGTAGGTGCAAAAGAACATGGGTAAGAGAAATTCTTACTTACCTGGGTAAATTGTTTGACAAAAGAACATTGGTAAATACACTTCCCTGGGTAAATGCGTTTACCCAAGTAAATATGTTCCTGGTGTTGTAATTTGTAAAGGTTTCCGGAATCTTCCATGGCACATCATCTAAGGTGGCCAGCTGTCATCCACTGTTTTTTTTCCTATATTGCTCCTACAAATTGTTCTGAGTTACTTGGTAATCTGGGTTGGTCATTGGGCCCGTCTGTCTCTGGTGTCTGGTGCTTTACATGTCTATGCTTTTACAAGAACTAATGATTTCCATCAGCTTTCGGTATAAATTATAGATTGTTGTTGTTGATCATCATCATCATCATCATCATCATCATCATCAATAAGATGAGGATGGTTTGGTCATGTGTAAGGAAGATGAATGAGCTTTACTCATGAGTGACTTGATGGATGGGTTGCTCTTTCTGTTCTTTTCTTTTGAAGGGAGGGGGGTGGGGGGCATGGATTCAAGTAGTGATAAAAAGATCTGAAACCCACTTTCATATCATAAGATGTGATCTGGATTCAGTGGAAATAATGGATAAGATTCCTGTACAGGATGATAATGATGCATTTAGGTGCTTACTGCTTGCAAAGCTAGTTGCCACTTCAGAAGTATGATAGAACGGTTATATATTAGTTGTTGAATTAAAGCTAAAGCTTTCTTTTCTCAGCATAGTAACCTAGCACTAGATCTGTTAGTTTTAACTGAATAACCCTTTGAGTTTGTTTTCTCCCTTGTCAAACAGGTTCCTGATGAAGCAGTTAGTAAGTGTACAGCTTGTAGGACAGATTTTGGAGCTTTTGTGCGGAGGGTATGAATCTATGCATTGATCGTCACTTTAATGTCTATTTATCATTAATTTCTTTGGAGCAATTTGGGGCTTCAAGGGGCACTTGTATTACTTTCCATATGCTAACCTTACTTCTTTATAATTTCAGCACCATTGCAGGAATTGTGGGGATATTTTCTGTGACAAGTGTACCCATGGAAGAATTGCTCTCACTGCAGATGAGCAAGCTCAGCCAGTACGAGTTTGTGACCAATGCATGGTATGCACTATCATTTATTGTCTACGCCTTCATTCTATCTATTATACCTCCCAATTTATGAGAAGAAGGTGGTCAAGTTTGTTTGGAAATCTGTTTGGGTGATTAGATGGTGGTACAGAATTTAAGCACATGTCACTGATATGCAGATTCAGAATCGACCATTTAGTATTTTCCAGATGGGAGATCTTCTGTCTCCTTGTCAATGTCATTGCACTGTCAAAGCCCCAATTTTATGCACTGTCCAAAATAATGTGATAAACCAGACGGAGATCATTAGTTTAAACAGTTTCTTTTGAAGCTGACCCCCTATAATTGGGATAAGGCTTAGATGATGATGAGAGTGTTGCTTTTGAACTTCAGGGAGATTTTAGCAACCAACCAACTTTTCGTTGTTGACCTTATTCTTTGATCTTATACCGAGAGATTACTGTTTACATTTGTGTGGGTGGATTTGTTCTCTAACTTTGAAAACATGTTCTTGATTCTAAAATTTGAAGTGGACCACTCTCTTTGGGGGTTAAAGGTTTTAAAACAAATATTTATGCATGGTATTGGGAACAACTTTATGCTTGCAACTTTTTTTTGATGAATAATAATAAGTTTATTGATTCAGAAGCAACTTTAGAGTGAGTTCATACATCATCCCAACGAGAGGCACGAGCTGCAGCCCCTCCTTGAATCTTACAAGTAAACTAGGAAAGAAAAACAATAATCACAACTGAGCCCAAAATAAT